GCAGGGATTCGGGTATTTGCCAGGGGATAGTATTGACAACCGAACAGCCATGCGGCGGGTATAATCGGCATGGCTGATTGCTTGTTCATACTATCCCCTGGCAAATACCCGAATCCCTGCTGCCCGACACCTGGGCTGTGGTGCCTCCCCTTCCTGCCTCTTCCCCTCCCTGCTCTAACCCTTCCCTGAAGTTCCCACGGCTCGCTGCTGCTGTCTGGAGTGAATCTTCCTCCTCTCTTCTCCTCCACCCCACCCCCTTCTCCCCTCTGAGGTCCCTGCAGCTGCTGTCTGCGTCTCTCCTCACGCCCCCCTCCCACCGCGGGCTCTGTGTGTGTGTGTGTGTGTGTGTGTGTGTGTGAGAATGTGAGCGGGGAGTCAGTGGCAGACTGGGGGAGTGAGGAGGAGAGTGGAGGGGATCCCTGAGTAAGGCTGTGTCTACACTGCCACTTTCAGCGCTAAAAGTGGAGCCACAAAAGTTTTAGCCAGTATAGACACTGCTTTATCGCCGGGAGCCGTGCTCCCGCGCTCGTTCAGGGTGGTTATTTTTTATCGCCGGAAGAGCTCTCCCCCGGCGATAAAGCGTGATTACACTGCCCACGTCACTGCGCTGTAACATGGGCAGTGTCGGCATATTACACAGTAGGCTGGTCTACACTTGGGGGGGATCGATCTAAGATACGCAACTTCAGCTATGTGAAGTCGAAGTATCTTAGATCGATTTACCTCGGGTCCTCACGGCGCAGGATTGATGGCCGCGGCTCCCCCGTCGACTCCGCTACCGCCTCTCGTGCTGGTGGAGTTCCGGAGTCGACGGGGGAGCGCGTTGGGGGATCAATTTATCGCGTCTAGATGAGACGCGATAAATCGATCCCCGATAGATTGATTACTACCCACCGATCGGGGTGAAAAAGTCTTCCAGAGACTTACTAGCAGAGATCACTGAAACTGTTAAAGGGCCATTGAAGTGGTAATGAAGCCATTTGACAGGCATTTGCCAATGCCCAGGAAGCCTTTGGCCACATTCAGCCGGCTTTATGTTGTAGGAAAATGTGTTTATTGGGGATAAAAACAGTTTCCAAATGACGACTCCTCAGTTATTCTCTGTACCCAGCAGAAGTAACTGCTAACCTGGCTCAAGGAGGAGCTGACCTAGCCAGTGAGTTTATTTCTTGATCTAGTCGTTTTATTCAAACCCAGTTTAAGTAAACGAGTCTGGCAGGGAATTCTGGGTGAGGTGATCAAACTACTGTCTTAATGCAGGCTGTCACTGACAAGCACTTTTTCAAAAGGAGAGATTAGGCTTCAGGTTGGTGCAGGTAGCCTGGCTTTTCGTCTCTCTGTCTCTGTACAGCGTACACCGAACTCCCCGCCATGCACAGGAGAATCTATCTGGCAAGTGAGCTACACCTGTTGCCTGATCAGTTCCTTTGGGGAATGTTATTAGTGCTTTAAGGTGAAAAGAGGAGAGGGTCTCGGGGGGAGGGGGCAACAGCAGGGTGAGGAGGCGAGCGGTGAACTAGCTGCACAGCAGGTGGTGGTGGAGGTCTCATGGCGGGTGGGGACGGGTCTGGCTGGGGGGAGGAGGGGAGCAGAGGGGGGATCTCGGGAAGGGGTGAAGAGGTGAGTGGCGAGTCAGCCGTGGGTGGGGGCTGGGCCCGGGGCAGAGCAGGGGTGGAGTGTGGGCGGAAGAGGCAGGACAAGGAGCTCGCCTCCCCCAGAGGAAGTTTCACTCACCGCCCATGAGAACAGCCAACACTGTCATTATCATACTTGACCCAGGGAACCATTTAGTAGGTGAGAAGCAGTCACCACTTCATCAGCCTCTCAACAGATCTAACTTCTTTGAGAGACAAAAGCCCTTCCTTCAGCTAAGTGCTTCTAAATCTAGAGTTCTCACAGCACGTTGCCCGGGTATATGAGAAAATGTCTAATTTCAGACTCACCTTTGGGACCTTGCACTCCCATATCACCTGAGAAAGGAGAAAAAAAAATCAAATCTAGAGAGATCCAGGAGGTATTCCCAGTGATTGCTCATTTTGGGACCATCCTTTCTTCCTTGTTACACTCCAAACTCTCAGTGAGAGCCCTGGGAGTTTGGGGTGAACATGGAATGCAGGATCGGGCCCTTCCCATTTTAACTAGTTGTGCCAGTCAATTCTCTGGATTCACTGTGCAAATTATTAGAAGAACCTGAGACACAGAACAAAGAAAGGGAAACACAACTCTCCTGTACCTTTCAGACCAGGTTCCCCTTTCTCCCCTCGGAAGAAACCTGCAATGGGAAGTAAAATGGTTGTTAGATTTAATTACACAATTTCAGGTAAAACAATCTCTCTCTTTCTCTCTGAAGACACAAGGCTGCTTTTGACTCGATTGCAAGACTGGAGGCGGCATAGTCTAGCGGGCAGAGCATGGATTTGGAAAGTAGGAGCTCCCTAGACTGACAGGAGTGACTCCCCTTGAAATCAGCTGCACTCATCTCCTGCAGAGGAAGGAGAAATCAGGCTTTCTGAGTGCCAATCCCATTCCTGACTCTCTGACCTTGGGCAAATCACGTAACCATATTTTCTCCATCTGTAAAATACTGACAGGAGTGTTGTAAGGAATAATCAGTTACTTTTTGTGCAGTGCTTTAAAAACGATAAGCCTTATCAGTGCTGTAAGTATGATTCATAATTACACGGAACATTACTTTACAACCACCTTGATATCACTCTCTTGGATAAGTAGGGTAGATTTAATCCCTCTGCTACTTCCATTACAGGCAGCATTCTAAGACCTGTACTTGCTTGCAGCATGCTCTCCCATAATAGGAAGGGTTCATAATTTGGCTATAGTGTGCTGCACTTTGAAGGCCTCTGCCAACTCAGATATGGAGTCACACACCTTACCTGGGAAGAAAGACTATTCTGCAAGTCTTTCCACTTATCTGGGACAGTGAACAGGGCACGTTTTCAAAAAATGGCCACCTAAACTGCTCCTGCAAAACTTGCATATGCAACATTTGCATGTTCAGACTATTCATCTGTGCAAGCAAATCTATTTTTGCATGGGCAGTGCATGCATCGCTCCATATTCCGAATGCAAGTGTAGATTGTGTGAATGCAAATTTTACATGAGCAATTTAGACAGTGAATTTGGAAAATCTGAAACGAGAGAATGATAAGGGCTCAAGAGTTTACATTTGTCAGTGCAATCTGACTGCAGGGACAAGGGTGGGGCTGAAATGAGGTAAAATCAGATCTCAGTTACACCAATGTAAATCTGGAATAACTCCACTAAAGCCAGTGAAGTTATTCCAGGTTGAGATCAGAATCTGCCTCTTCTTCAATAATATATATGGAATCTGGTAACACCATGTTCTACATGTCTTGCTACCTAATTGCAATCTTAAATCACACAGCAGTGTGGACAGTGCAAATGGCAGATCCACCTTTTTTTCCTGGTGAAGCATCTTTTAGCAATCCAGTGTCATGGAATTTCTTGGACTCTTGCCCTTCTTACCTTGTCCTCTTTCCAAAGCCATTTTGTTCCTCATAAACAGCCAGAGAGCCTCTTGATCTTTATGACTGAAACCTGTAGCATAGTTTGGACCTTTCCCGACATCAGAATCACTGTACTTTTGGTTAATTCCCCATTGTGTGGATTAATTAACAGGTAGTTGGCTTGGGCTTTCTCCAGATTTTCCACACGAGATTTCAGCTTCTTCATTTCTTCCGCTGAAAGGTTAAATTAAAGTAAAATATTAAAGGGGAAGGAGCAGTGGGTTGATCCCCATAACATTTATTTCTAAAGGCAGAAGCAGGGGAAAGTTCATTGTCAACTAACAGTTGCTACTGAATTTGGCGGGGGATGGGAGGGTAGGGTACGGTTATTCTGTGTATTTTGTAGCAGGGATTTCCACTGGACTGAAAAGACATCTTTTGAACCTGTCGGCCTCTAAGAGGAAGAATTATCTTGTGGTCAGAGCACAAGAGTGGGAGTCAGATCTAAATTCTTCTCCCAGCTGTGCCATTGATTTCCTGAGTGATCTTGAGCAAGTTACATGCATCCCTTCTCTGGTCTCGTCTATACTAGGGAAAAAAGGAGTTTTCCTAACCTAAGTTAAATAACACGAGATAAAATCCTAAAGTGGAAAAGACAGTTTGTAGCTTTCACACAGGTTAGTTGGTTGAGGCAAAGCCTAAGGTTTTAATTCATAGTCTTTAGTTCAACCTGTTTATACACGTGGAAACGACACACTGCCTTGTCTTCACTAGGATTTTACCTTGCATTAGTTACCTCGAGTTAAGACCCAACTGTTTTCCTAGTGAAGATGCACCCTGTGTGCTTCATTCCTCACATCTGTAAAACAGGAACAATACTGATTTCTATCCCTCGTACGGCTGTTGTGAAGCCTAATCTGCTAATGCTGGACAAGCGCCTTGAGAGCCTTGATGGACAGCACAGGAGAAGTGCAAGGCTTTCTAATTATCACGTAAAGGCACAGACAAAGAAATGCGCATTTAGTAGCTAAATCCACACAACTGAAAGATATTAGACCTAAGAAAATTTGAAAGCTAAGCTGATCAAACATGGCTGCTTTTGGGGCCAGTGTGTACCGTGTTGGTACAGCATGGGAGAGCCGCTGGACTCCCAAGTATCCTCCTGCTGCATTTGTGTCCAACGCTGATCAGTTCTTTACGGGAGGTGACACAGATCACGTCACGGACGGTAATGGGCCCTGGCAGCACAGTTTGGGGCTGGGAGCGGAGCCGTGTCTCCAGAAGCGGGGGACCTGGACAGAAGTAAGGGGGCCGAGGCTGGGACCATAGCTGGGGGCAGGCGTGGGGCTGGGAGTGGAACCCCGTGCAAAACCTGGGGGTGCTGCAGCACCCCCTGCACCCCTAGTTCCCGCGCCAATGCTGCCCAGAGGAGAAGTTTCCTAACCCTGGTCACTTAGAGGTTGGCTTTTGCCCTGAAGCAAGAGGGTTTCTATCCCTTACACATTATTTTTATCCTATCTGAGATATCTGTTGTTCTCATTATCCTAATCTTTGTCTTATCTTTTACTTACCCTTGCTAAGCACTCAGTGAAAGTAACTTCACAGGCTAATTATGTGCTCTGCAAAAAAGTATTGCATGGGACAGATATTATTACATTTTCTCTACCATCCATTATCTTGTTTCCCTCTGTGTTGTCCCCTCTAAAGGGGGTTTGGATGGAGAGTTTTGCTTTCCTTCATTATCGATCCGGATCTGAACTTCTTCAAAGTTTGGGGGGTATTTAGATTTGGGGTTTGGTTCAGGCCAATCACTAATCACATCTGGAGTTCACTGAACCATCTACTACCTGAAGTAATATAGTCCATCCTTTGGCCTGCTCTTGCTGTGATCTCTTACCCAAAGCGATGAGTCCGAAGAGCAATCCAAGGAGGAACAGCCAGGCTAGGAGCAAACCCAGGAGCCATTTCCACCAGCTACAGCAGGAACCACAGGGACACCAAGCTGGGGCTGCCCCTATCCCTCCCCCTCCATGATCGCCTCCAATTTCTAAAGTGGGAAAGGACAACAGCAAGGTTAATAAACAACTTCAATAGGAGAATAAAACCTGCAGGGGCAGGCCCATTAAATACAGCACTACGGAAAAACCTTTCCACTTCAGTTTGAACACAACGAGTGAAATTCAGACCATCCTGATGTCAATGGCAAAACTCCGCGTGATTTCAACAGGGCTAATGTTTTTTAAACTGCTGCCTTCCAGTCACTGCTTGCACAGCGATGACACAATGAGTTGCAGCCATAGTTCTGCATAGCTGCTCTGATAACTACTTGATTCGCCCCTGCAGTCAAGAAGCGCGTCTACTCAGATTCACACCCACAACTGAATTACGGGTGCAAATTTTGCAGGTGCAGACTGTGCTCATCCTAAAACAGCAACCCTTATGAAAATGGCCTCCCCGCTTCATTGATCACTTACGGATTATTTATATCACAGCTGTGTAATTCTTTTTTCCATTGAAAGTAAACTACGCTTTAATATATCCCCTCCTACTAAAGAATCTTCAAAGCGCTACTGACCTGCGTAAGTTGCTTTGTCCTTTGTTGACACGGATTTTAGACCGCCTGTTGTTAAAAAACAAAAGAGATTTTAATGATCTTTCTTTACAGGGGCCAACCACACCCAGGAGAATGTGGACACAGCTAAAATACAATTCTGTTTACCAGTGTGTCTTTAGCACAAACTGTTTTCCACAATGCTTTATTCTAACCACCTTGATATCCCTCTCTTGGATAAGTTGGGTAGATTTAATCCCTCCATTACAGGCAGCATTCTAAGACCCGTACTTGCTTGCAATATGCTCTCCCATAACAGAATGAAATTATGCAAGGCCATAAGCAGATAATAGTATAAACTACAGGAAATAATGGAACAAAATTGGTGTAAATCACATATTGCAGGTAAGCTGAGCTGAACATGGGTGCAAGCAGGAAAGTGATGTAAGGTCACGTGTACTGAACTGGCATTCCTTGAGTCTGAAAAACAAGTGAAATTTACACACCCTGAGGATGAAAGGATGATGTAGCGGGAAAAGCAATTAACCGGAAAGTATAAGTGTAAGTAGGGTCAGTTTACCCCTGTTACTAACTTCCTGTTACATGTACATCTCTTTACCCTAGTGCATATAATTCACACTCATTTTACACACCCAGGATCTGATTCAACACTGTCACTCCAATAGTGTAACTCCTCTGATACCATTGAATCAAGTCTTATGTGACAAGCCAGCACAAGTCATTAATTAATTATTAATTATTATTATTATTATTATTAAGCATGTCTTTCCAGTAGCACCCCAATGTGCTAGGCGTTTTCCAGGAAGAGAAGAAGTTCCAGTCCTTGCCCCAAGGGCTTAAAATCTAAAGACAGACAAACAGACAGAGGATGCGGGGAAGGGAATACAACATATAAACAGAGAGGTCAAGCACATGATTGACTTGGTCTTAATAATATGACACAGTTTTTTTTTAAATAGGTCATACAATATTCCCGATCCCTAGTTTACCACTAACTTAACTAGCTCCACCACTTAGCATCAACATGGAATAGGCCCCTTTCTGGTTTGTGAATCGATGCATTCAACCACCAGGCTAATACACAGTGAGAGAGGAAATTAAGAGGCACAGGCAAGGGATATGTTCAGATGGGACTGGAAAGGAGATCGGGAGGGCAGGTGAGGTGGAGAGAGCTAGGCAGGCTGTCCCAGATGGTGCAGAAGAGGAAGCTCTGACACGTAGTGAGGAGAACATGTGCTGGGACAAACAGGTGATCGGTGCCAGAATGACCGTCTCTTACCATTTGTTTCAGATTTCAGGTAGGAGTCTGCAGCGTAAGAGGAAGAGAAGCCCTGCTTTTCTTTCTTCAAGGTGTCTTCTGCAAAGGACGCTGTGTGGAGTCCAAAGAGGAGTCAAATATGTCTTACCAGAAGTCAGACTGGACCAGATCCTCAGCTTGTGTAAACCGGCATAGCTCCATGGAAGTCAATGGGGCCATGCGGATATACACCAACTATAGCTCTGTCCCTTGGTTTTAAGCCCTTGAGTTTTACAAGCAAGCTGGCTAATGGGCATGCCTTGTAAAGTTCTCCATGGAGTTTCATAGGGAGACTATGAACTTTGTCCCCATGTACCTGGTGGGAGAAGCTGCCCTCAAGTGGATAAGGGATGACATGGCAGCCCAAAGGTCTACTCTGCATTCCCGTGGCTTATAAAGTTATAGAGCTGAAAACTCTAGAGATGGAAAAGCCTTTTTAGGTCACTGAGTCCGTCTCGCTGCTCATGCAGATTTAGTCCCAGTGGTACCAAGGTTTGGTTCAGTGTCATTTTAAATGTGCCCAAGGGGTAGGGGTTTCGCCACTCCCCTGGGCAGACTGTTCCACAGCCGGATAGATTGCAATAGCAGTTTCCCAGAAACTGCCAGACTCTCACCTTTGGGACTATTTCCCAGTAATTAACATTCATTTCTAAGCTTCTAGCATGCATGCATGTCATGGGAGATGGTGGGAGGAGAACATACTTCCACTGAGCCCCATGCTGGAAGCACTGAAGACCTTGCCGCTGTCCTTCGTCATGATCAAGAGCTCCATCTCCTTCTTGGCAGGGACGTTCTCCTTCTCCAGCAGCAGGAACTTGCAGTCTTTACGCAGGATGTCGTCGCTCTGGGAGTTCACAGTGCTTCCAACTGGGGTGTGTGAAGGGAGGGGGGGAGAGAGAGAGTGAGAGAGAGAGATTGGTTAGTGGAGAGAAAGGATGTTTCAGTGATTAGGATGCTATCCTAGGATTTGGGAAACCTGGATTCAATTCTCTGCTCTGCCACAGGCTTCCTGTGTGACCTTAGGCAAGTCACTTTGCCTATATGTGCCTCAGTTTCCCACGTGGAAAACAGGCATCACAGCGGTGCCCTACCTCATGGTGGTGTTGTGAGGATAACTACATTTAAGACTGTGAGTAAGGAAGCCATATCAGATAAGATACAGAGTGCACTTTTGCTGAGAAAGCTTGCGGACAAGCCACAGCTGAAATGAAATCGTTTGGTAAAGTCCAGGCTCCTTTGGTGATGAGGATATGGATACCATAAGCACTGAGCTATGGAACAATCAGTCCTTTGGCTAGCAGAAGAGCAGTAGTGTTGAGGAGGTTTTCTGTTTATGCTAGCTTGATGCTGACTGCTGCTGAGAACTCTATATACGGTTTGGTATAGGCATATAATACATTCACATGCAAATGGAAAGTAGATCCAATGAATTGCTCGGTCTTCTAACAAAATGGTGTAACAAAAACTAAACTTGCAAATGTACCGGCACAAAGTTCAGATTAAAGATAATGGGCCTGCTTTTACTCTGTTAACCCGGTGTGAATCTGGAGTAGTCATTGCTGCCTATTCTACTGTGAGTTTTGCAATATTTTATTGCTTTCTTAAAGGCCCACCTTCTGGAGTCCTGTGATTACATGACAAGCTGGGCTGTAATTAAAAAAAAGTTTCTAGCACTCATAGTTGGGGAGAAAAGTTTGAAAACATGAACCCTAAAGGCTCAAAAACAAGAAGGCAAAACAAAAGAACCCAGAATTTATTTGTTAAAATATCATGATTGTTAAACCAATCTCATAAATTTTGAACTCTTGGGGCTAGTAATGCTGCAAAATTATGTACAAAACTAACCTTGCAAATGTTCAGGTTCCATATTAAAGATAATGGGCCTGATTTTGCTTCCAATTACTCTCGTTTAAATCAGGATTAACTCCAGTGAGGCCAACTGAGTTACACCAATATGACCGTGGCCTGGGGAAGGTCAGACTCGGGCCTCTGATTTTCTAGTGCTGAATTTGCTGCTCCTTTGTTTTCATTTATGAACAGCAAGCGTGACATCTAGTGGACACTTTGGTTAGTGATCTGTGTTTATTTCTTCTAAGGCTATTCCATGTGTTACAGTGGCCCAAGAGGGTGAATCCGAGACTATGTCTACACCGTAATCACTGGGTGGGGTTGCAACTGGAGGAGACATACTGGCGCGAGCTTTAGTTTAGCTAGCAGGGTACTGGGACAGTGAAGCCGCAGCAGTGTGAGTTTCAGCAGGGGCTAGCACTGTGTGTGATTACCCAGAGTTTCAGGTGGGATCGACTCGTACACTCAATGGCGAGGCACACACTGTTGCAGTTACATGCAGCACCTGAGCTAGCTAGATTAAAGTGACTTTGGGTATGTCTACGTGGGCTGCAATCTTCTGGGTATGTCCACACCAGCTGCAACCATAGATACTTTCAAACCATGATCTGCCCGCATGAGGACAATTGCCCACACAAATCATCAGCTATATACTGTCAGCCCTGGACTTCCATGAGTTACAGACTCACCAGCTGAAGTGCACACTCCACTACCAGCCATGCCAGCGCTCTGGGAAGTATTTTTCTTCACTCCGTATACTGCAAGACAGAAATCAGCAGAGACTAAAACCACAGACCTTAAACCCTCCTAGCCAGAGGAAGAGACGCACAATTGCAGATGCTAAAGAAGCAGGAGAAAGGGGAAAAATAGAATGGTTCCCCAAAGGAAAGAGGCCGGGGAGCCTGAGCTACCGACCCAAACGCACCTTGGACTTGATCCTGCAACTTTGCCCCTGTGAAAAGTTCTTTTGAAAGCGTATGGGACAACTTGCTCAGGTAAGAGCTTCCCCAGTGACTAAGGGCATGCAGGAGTGGGCTCATTGTTTGCCTGGGGTGCTGACAGTTGGACCTCACATTTGCAGGGCTGAAGGGAACACCCCATCCCATCCCATATGACACTGCCAGAGGGAACCGGTGTTCATATTTCTTTAATAGGATCAATTAGAATTGAACACATTTTCTTCTCGATTCGAATCCCAATTACATTTCCTGTAAAGCACTGATTCCGCTCTTTGCACTGTCCCGTCTTTTATGCACTGTGCATCCTGGGAAAGGCCCCTGCTGTGAATTATTTGATCATTAAGGAGTTACTGGGACATGGGAAGCGCTATTGCATAACAAAGCCACACAGATCAGTTACCCAGCCTCTCCTCTCGATGATTAAAATATCACTGACCTGTGGAGGCTGTGGTTGCACCATGAGTCATGGCTGCAGAGCTTGGAGCCAGGTTGTTTTGAACACCAAACACTGCAAAGAAAAATGCCCTGAGGTGACTAACAAGAGGTCGGCATTGCAACTGGCATTTGGACAAACAAAAACTAGGACCAATGAAAATAATAGTAATTACAGTGATTCCTGCTTGCAAAGGTAGAGTAGCAGGCCTGAGACGACCCCCCCACCCCCACACGGACTCTAAATAAACTCAGCTGGCCAGCTGAATGTTTCATACACATTTGTGTTCATTACTTTCAATAGAAATTTTGCACATCTGTCACTTTCCCTTCCACAACTCCCCCACCACCCTGCCCCCCAATATCACCCTGTCCTGGAAGCCGTGGTCAGCTCAGGCTAAATAAAGGTGGCCATTTTGGAACATTAGACTTAAACAGACTTGAAGAGACCTGCCGTTGTCTCTGTGCTGTGTATGCCTTTCTGGAGGGGCTGAATTGTAAAAAAAGGGTTAAATTCACTGACCGGTCTAGCCTGGCTAAGGGTGAGCTGAGGGGCAATGTGATAGCCACACTGAGTATGTGAAAGGTATAGACACCATGAAGGGGCGAAATGTTTAGGGTTATGTAGGAGGGTCTAGCCAGGAGTAATGGGATGGGATTGAGCAAAGGGAACTGTACTGGGCTGAACATCAGGAAACAGCAAGGTCTGACAGACACTCATTTTTACTCCCTGAGGAAACAGTGGAAGTTCAAATTATTTGAAATGAAACATTTGAGATTTTCCTATGGGACACAATCCTGGATTTGTCTCACAAGGATAGACAAGTTGGCCTAACAGATGCTTTCCAAATAAATGACATTTCTCCCGAGACCCCAAATATTCCATCGCTACTTTCTAATGCCAATGACACAGGGCAAAGGCTGAAGTAACGCCACTTCAGCCAAGAGAGTTACTCCAGGTGGACATGCTGACTGATGTAACTGTGATCAAGACCCAGCACAAAGAACGCACCGAGGGGGAATCTAGGTGTCTTTTTGTTATACATTTAAGCTGACGTGCTGAGCTCCATGAAACGAAGAAGGGAAGAAGAGAGAAGTCTGACCTGTTGAGGAACTGCTCAGCCCTGTGTTCAGAGTGGGAGAGCCGGGAGCCAGGTTATTTGGGACGCCAAACACTGCAAGAGGAGGAAAAAGATGATTTGGCACAGCAGAGAAATGAGATCCCAGCGCATCCAGGCAGATGGCTCAGCCCCCAAAGCCTGAGAGTGAATGGGTCACTAGGAAATTTCATTCCTTCATGGAAAACACATTCTGCTAGGAAACGTACAATAAACACACTGGGGGAAATCTAAAATCATGGCACAAAACACTCTGTTTTACTCTATTTTAAAAAGGGAGAAGGTTTTGATCTCAAAAAAGTTACAGTGACTGGACACGGTTAGGATGCCAAGTCCTTTAAACCTTAGAGGATCCATCACCGTTCCATTTGCAGTAGGAAACAGCGGCATTGAGGACGACGCTTCCTGACATTCAGAAATGAGCCTGAGACACAACATTCAGTCCCAGCATTCACTGACTGAAGTGGGAGTTCTGGATGTGCAAGGAATGCAGGATTACACCCAATAGTCCTAATGTGGAATCCAAACCCTGTCATAACTCAAACACCCTCCATATTCCAATCCAATGTTGTCTTGTCTAAGAGGCTTGATTGTGAGCTCATTGAAGTCAATGGTAAAGTTCAGCAGCACAGGATCAGGCACTGTGGACGTTTGATCTCCATGAATAAGGGATTCAAAGCATAATCAATGCAGAAGTAATTCTGGGGGCACAGGGAGACAGAAATCTATGGAGAACAATCAAGTGCATTTGCTCCCACCTCCACTATCCCTCCCCCACCCTCAACATCCCCTCGTCCCATGCACAAAACACCAGCAGCAGGACAAAGAGGGTCCCACGGTCTGTGCCCTGTCAGCACAAGTGGCCAAGGGAGTGGGGTGGTTACTGTACCTGATCCTGTTGAATGGGACATGGTGTTGACCAGGGAAGAACCCTGGGCCATGTTGTTGTGGTAACTGCCAAGGGAAGACCCTGCAGGCAGGGTGGAGGACCACATGTATGGAGGGAGGGCAGCATTCAGTATGGTTGTGTCGTATGTCCCCGACACTGGAGAGGAAACAGTAATGGGGTTGAGTGAGAGTGGTAACAGAAATCAGACCACCTACTCAGAGGCAGAGGACACACAAAGCCAGGTTTAGATCTTAGTTTCTGATCAGGTCCTGATCTCCAGTGCAAATCTGGAGTCACTCCCTCAGTTTCAACGGAGTGACTCCAGATTCACACCTGTGTAACTGAGATCAGCACCTGGCCCGCTATAGCCAAGCCAATTGTGAACCCATTAGACAAATACAGAGATTGCCTTAATTTGTGTCACTTCACTGTAACCACTTGCAAAGCACCTCAAGGGTTTAATCACAGGCACATATGATGATGCCAGAATACAAACTAAACACATTTCAGTCCACATCCTGGTGAGGAAATCGGCATTGGATATGGATCCCCGGATTCTTCCATGACACTTCCACACATGGGCAACTATTGTATCGTTAATGAATGACTAGGAAAGACACCAGGTGAGTCAGCTCCTCACTAGGGTATTTGAACCTCTGCACCCAGATAAATATGAGAGTTGAGCCATTATTTGTTCTGTTAAACACTGGTAGAGTTCAGTGGTGTTACACCAGGGGTGAATTTGACCCATGATGCTAAAGCACCATAGCAGGGATGGGTACGTGAATGAAAGATGACGTATTGGACCATTTTCGTTCCTCGCATAGCTCCATTGACCAATGAACATGTGGGGTTGGTGAGGCGCAGACTATTGGGCCAAATGTAGGGCATTCTACAGGTTGGCCTGTGGTAACATCCATCTTGCTGCTTAGACCAAGACAGAGAATGGATTGCTTGGGGCTTTAGTCTCCATCAGCCTCAACTCTGAATTAAAGATGATGGCAGCTGGAATCTGCTCTGTTTTATGAAAATTAAGGGGGCCCTGGCAATTATGGTCCTGCTTTGGGCAGTATCTGGGCACCCTGTGTGTAACTCCCCTTTTTGCATTGTTATTACACTCTGGAAAAGACAGCAAACATTTTTAACCTGAATCGCTCCTGACATTGTTTTAGTTTTATACGAATTGGCTGGAATTTCTATATCACAAGCCACATGCTTTAAATGAATCATTCCCCGCTCCCTGCACAGCCGGCATTGCTAACACCCCTCTGCAAAGCACCTGACTGGGAGCTCTCAGTCACCATCTTCGTTTCCACTACAGCTTTCTTGGGGATGGGGAGAGTGCTGGATGACGACCGTGTGGGGCTGACGCTGGCCGATCGACTCCCCTTCAGCAAACGCTTCACATCATCCAGTTCCGTCCCTGGCAGAGAAAACAGATGTCCAGACTAAGCCCAAAGCCACCACCCAATATAGCCTGCAACCAGAGATGCTCTTAATACTTGAACAAGTGTAAGAGAAGTGGTGTCCAGCAGGAAACGGGGCCATTTCCCAAAGCTCCTTAGAACTCTGCATTTGGCAAATGGCTGTCCCATCTCCAGCACTTCCCCCTGAAAGTGGATTAGGTGGGATAAAACACCAGAGGATATACAGCAGGGCAAAATCCTAAACTGGCTGGGGGGGGGGGTAGCGGAATCCTCAGTAGGACTTTCCCATCTCTTTCTACAAATCATAGTCTGATTGTCTCGTGAGAGGACTAGTTTCTGGGACTAGTGTGGCCCCCAATTCCTGGAAGGAGGTACTGATATCTCTGGAACTCCAGCTGGGATATCACTGAACACTGGTGACTCTCTAGGCTGTGCAAGGCGCTGAACCTGTTTATGAAGTGCTCTTTTGTTGTTAATGCACAAATTCCTGTCTAATCTAATGCACTTTTCAGCAGGGTATAGAGGCACCCACAAGAGTGCAGGCTCACTCTCGTAACAGCACAGCACTATGACCGAGACCAAAGAACTCTTGTAAAGCCCCTCACTTTCATAGGGAGGCAACTGAAGTCAGCAGTGAGGACGTAGGGTCCTTCATCATTGACCTCAATAGGAGGTTTGCCAGTCACTTCAATGGGAACAGGATTGGGGCCTTAGTGAGGAGAGGAGCAATTGGCAAAATGATTCTACCCAGGAGCAACTCATTCAGGCTAAATAAAACTGCCCTGGCAAAATACAGGTCTAGGCCACAGCAAACTTCCTCACTCTTCACACTTTAAATTAAAATTACTTGCAGAGAGTGAAGGGAGGCGGTTTCTCATCACCGCACGCACATTTTATGACACCCCATGTGCCACCCTGAGTGCTCAGCCCCAGAGAAGCCACTGGCAGAGTTAGAGCAGAAATATCCTCAAGGCCAAAATGGTCAGTATTGGAGTTGGCTCTTGAGGGCTATCCCTTAGGAGGGGAAAACCAGGCCCCCATGTTCACTCTAAAACAACAGCAGGGACACTTACATCTGGTTGAGGGAGAAGCGCTCTGGAGTCGGACTCGGATTTCGCTCTCTGCACAAGAAAAGAGGGTCATGAATACGGAGCGAGCTGAACTGGTGCCATGAGCAGGCTGCAAAAGCTAATTCCCCACTTCTCACTGTCCATATACATTATTATCTGTTAGGTTTGGGCAGCTCGCACAGCTTGAGGGATTGGTTTTATCGATCTGAATTTTTAGAAGTGGCTTTGGACTTTTGGGCCAGATTCTGATCCTTTCACTCCCACTAAGAAGTATTGCCCTTTAAGTTTTCACAGTGTTTTGTTCGACACTCTTGGTACCATATAAATACATTAATAAATCATCATAATGCACTGATTTTTGTTACATTGCATAGCATCTTATGTACCTCATTAGGGAGGTGCGACATTAATATAAGGCCCAATCTTGCAGCCCTTAGTCACATGAATAGTCTCATTGACATCTATTCGTTAATTACTTTTATTATATTATCCTAATGTGAGAGCAAACAGAGTCACAAGGGACTTCTGAATTTTAAAGATTACTAGTTGCATTGGGGCTCTAATTGTTCCAGCTGTCACTCAGACAAAACTCCCATTTTCTTCACATGGACATTTACCTGTGTAAGGACTGGTCTGTTACTATTTGACGACTTCTCTATTGGCTCATTTCATGTAGACTTTCCCATACAATTTTTTATTGGGTTCTGCTTGATCCAAAAGAGCATTGAAATACGATAGTCAGGTTGCAAAAGATAGTTTTATTACTGGGGTTTACTCTCCAGCATGAGAGAATATAGGGTTAAACTGATTGGGCTGAAACAAACTTTAAATCTGGTTGTCCGGGAGCCAACTGGCCAGCCAGAGTGCCTGACACGTGTTCCTCCAGATGAAAGCTAACAGTGCATGTACTAGAAAGAAACACTTCTTTTGGCAGTTGCGTGGAGAAGATGATAGATTGGGGCTATTTTTTGAAGCAATATGAAAAGCTGGAGCACGATCCTCCTGTGTCTGCTTTATTATGTGTGGGAAGATTCCCCAGAGATCTCAGGTTTCTAGAATGCTGGGAGAGACTGCAAAGATCTCAGGGAGAAGTAATTGGCAATTGCTAAGCTCTCTTGGAGGAGCCGTAACAATGCCCTTTGATTTATAGCCACAGCTCATATGAAGGTGGATAAAATGATTTGTACTGTTGCTTTCTCACCAGCTGGGAATATAAATTAAGCTCTTCGGTATCAATTATATCCAACTTTTCCCCAAACGGCTGATTAATTAGCGAAAGAAAAGGAGGGAAATTCTATTTAACAGCTTAAGCAAATCAAGTTTTTACAAAAAGGTGTCTAAATGGACCACACTGCTTCAGTGATTTCCTAGTCATCCTGTCCACTAGGGCATACCTCTTAGGGGAATGTAGTTACTGTCTCATATAACGGATCTCAGTGGAAGGAAGATGAAGGGGGTTATTGTTATTTCCATATTCAAATACTTTGGAGTTGCTCAGCTATTATAGTGATGGGATCATATACAAACAGATAGATAGATAGATAGATAGATAGATAGATAGATAGATTTATTAAAGGTGATGTATACATAAGACAGAGAGAGGCAGGAGGAGGAACAAGGGGTCACCAAAAAGCACATTCCAACTCACCTCGGCTTTGACTCCGTCCTCTGGTGTTGGACGATGCTGTGAAAACCAATCAGAGAAAAGCAATTTTAGACTCTATCAACTGTAACACATTTGAAAAGTAATGTAAGGGATGAAGCGTCTTATGTGAGTTGTACAGTTGCTCTGTTTAGCTGGGGCATGGCATGGAGACACTGATCCCCAAATATTTTGGCTGTCATCACTTAGGTCGCTGCGTGTTTAACTGAAAATATACAGTTCTTAGTACTTCTGGATCATCTAACAATTCCCTCAACACATCCACGGTTGGCGAATGCCCCTAATGATCTATCAAGAAACTTGATGGTAAATCAGAAGCCAATTTGGAGAAGAACCAGGGGATGTGTGCATACAACACCTCACTGAATAATAATACTGCCTGGATTGCACTGATGGGTGCTAATACTCAGTTATGGGGCAGGAAACTCAATGAGATCTCCCCTTAAAGTGAAGATCACCAGCACAAAGTTGGGGATAGCAGATTTACAATACAGCATCTATAGAAATGGTCTTTAAAGACAAACACTGATCAAATTCTGCTCTCAGTTACATGAACATAAATTTGGAGTAACTCCACTCATGTCATAGAGGCGTATGTGTCTGTCCTGGCTGCATGAGAACCCCCGAGCAGAGGAGAAGTTGTGGGCATAATAAGACATTGCAAACCCCTTCCCAATGGGCAGACTTTCCAGAGTCGTCCTTCCCACAATTTGTCATGTGCATGGCATTATTTTTATTGATTCATGTCTTCCAGTAATGTGTTCTGCCAGAAGCCATAGAGCAGCCAACATGCATGCCCTTGGCCTGACATTCACAGTGACAGTAATATAAGAACATACCGAACTCTTTTCTAGGGAATTCAGGAGAAGAATTTGCGCTGGAGCTCCCTGCAGAAGAAGAAAAGATTCCATGTTAAAGCTTTGCCAAATATTTATGCCCCAAGGTCATTAAGAGATTGTTTAATATATCATGTCCGTATCTACCAAGTCTTAAGTATTGGCAGCGACGGGGTAACAAAGATTTCCATTTAAAAAGAACTGCTGAGTTTTATACCGATGAGCTGCTGTCATCCTCCAACCACAATAAGCGATGAACATTATTTGGATGAACATAATTATAAATAGGACTTTGTGGGTAATTTTCATTAAAGTGCATCCTTGTGGTCTATTCCATAATTGTCCCATATTGGGATTTATGCTCCAGGGAACAATCCTGCATTAGCAGGTTGGAACTGACAAGACAACCTAGCAGGGCACCTCTAATTCCCCATCTCTATGACAGATTCTATGATACCTTCATATGTTGCATTGCGGGAGACGTAGGTTTTTCTTTCAAAGGTTGAGCCGGGTGATTTGGGGAGAGTAGAGCAGGGAGACGGGGTTTGCCTGTAGCCGGAGGAGGAGGATGAATTCATTCGACCACTTCCACCTATGGGTAAAACAAAAGCCCCCCAGAAAGCAAAGATAATGCCTCATACATGTAAAGTGGTGCCCTATACTCTTCTGTGTTGGCATGGATGGACCTCACACTGAGTTGCAGAGGTAGGTTAGGGCTAGTGATGGGCTAGAGGCACAAAGTTTGGATCTGGCTCTGTTGAGCTTCTCCGAAGTTCAGGGGATGCTTATATCTGTGGTTTTAGTTCAGCTCCTTGTAGAGAGACACACCCTGCTACCTTTGAAGCCAGTGGGAGTTTTGCGACCGACATCAATAGGAGCAGGTTTGTGCCCAGGTTTGAGGAACCAGCCACATCCCCAAAGATGGGAGATCTTGGGATCTGGCTAGGGTTGTGGGTTGGTTTGGGTTCAGGCCCACCTGTAAATTTAAGGGTCAGTGTGACACAGACCACAAAAATTGTGGGTCACTTAAGTTGATCTCAACAAGTAGGGGATGCTGCTGGAACAGAAGCTCCATGAGGTAGGGGGCTATGAAAATGGAAAACATCCATAAATCCAAGAGACGGTGTGTATATTTGTGGGACTGTTCCCCTGACAGCATGAGGGTCCGTGTCCTTACTCTGCCGTTGCTCAGTTACTCTGCGTCCTGGAGAACTAGCGTAGGGGTGAACATGAGTCATGAACACGGAGCCTGGAACTTGGATGCTGTTAAATCTAGGATTAGGAGAGGGCTCCTTTCCTACTCACATCAGAGCTGCAGCAGAAGGGAGACAGGCCTGCATCTCTTTCGCTGCTCTGTGGTGTGTGGAAGGACCTGACCCCTGTGTGAATTCTAACATTGGCATTCGAGTCAGAACTCAGAATAGAGTGTCAGCTGTGATTGAGCATGATATATTCATGGGGATCAGTGGGGGTGACAGAGGACGTCATCTTTCCATTAGCGCAAAGAGAATGTGTCCTAGGGATCTCAATAGAGAATGAGCAAGGGCCAGGACAGCGGTACTCACTTTCCCCTCTACTCCTCCCCGTCCCTCCACATACTGCACAGTTGCCTTTAGAAAATGTGATTGTGGCACATAAAGCAAATCTCCAGATAATTGGTGCCCGACCTTTCGAAGTGCTTGAGCAGTTCGAAAGATGGAATCTGCCTTTCATGGGAAATTTTGAGGTGACTTTCTGTTTTGAACCGGAACGAAAAGTCGAAACGCTGGAAATGTTTACCAGACAAAAAATTCCCCAAAGGTTAGAACTGAAACATCAGAAAGGACAATGCAGCGTTTGCAAGCGAAACAAAACTCCAACATGTGGAAATGACACTTCTCTTGATCCTTCTGAGAGGAAAATTGAAAAATTTCATGGAAAACAACATTTTTCCCATGGAAAATGTCAATTTTGACAAAGCCGCATTTTCTGATGGGAAATTTTTGTGTGTAAAAAAACCGTGACCAATCCTACAAGGTGCCGCACCCAGTGGGAACAGAAAGTTCTCAGCACCTTGCAGGGAAGGGGCTCTTGCACAGAAAGTGCTCTCACCACTTCCCCATGAATGTTTTCTGTGTTTTCCCTTGGCTTAGACCCAGTACCTGTCCCTTTTGCCCCTTTTACCCCACCCAATGAAGCTGCCTTTGCTTTCTGTTCATTCACTCTCCATTTCATCACTACCTACTTGAAGTCACGTAGCTGCTGCCATGGGTGAAAGTCCTCTTTTCCATTCCACTCCCTCCGCCGTGGGCTGTTTTGTGCCCAGTGCCGCTCCCCCCTTCTGTGAGAGACAAGCACACAATGAGACTTTCTGTGGCCAGAAGAGATGAGGCCAAGAGCAAAAGAAGCTGCAGGACGAGGCACCAGGAGCCCACAGCTGTGTTACGCTCCGTTACAGAGCCAGGGCTGTGAATGAGGAGGTGTCTTTGGAACCATGTATAGTAGTTGGAAGGAGTTATCAGTGTTGGGGAAGCCAGCCAGCTTGAACCTCTTATCTTTCTCCGGGCTCTGACATTCCAGCTGCCACGGCAAGGAAAGTGCTCAGATCATCTTCACTTTCCATCCTGGTTGCAGCAAGTCTCTCATCAAGCAATTGCATGCTGGTGCCAAGAGCACACAAGATTCACCCAGGATGGGAAAGGGAGGTATAACTGACCCTTTATGTGCCCCGAGGGGATTCATCTTGAGGGAAAGCAGGTTTTGCTGCTGCTGCGCTCCCTGAGGCCATGTCTATATGTACAGCACAGCAGCAGTGCAGCTGTACCGAGACAGCGCATGTTTTGAAGAGGGTCTATGCCAACAGGAGAGAGCTCTCCCGTCGGCATAGAAACCCCATCTCTGCGAGCGGCAGAAGATGTCAGTAGGAGAAGCTCTCCTGCCAACATAGCGCTGTGCACACGAGCGCCGATGTCAGTATAACTGATGTCGCTCAGAGGGGTGGAAGATTCACAGCCCTGAGCGACATAAGTTTTGCTGACATAGGCTGTAGTGTAGACATTTTTCTGCTGGCGGAAGAGAAACTGGGGGAGATACAGGAGCCCTGCCCGTGGCAGCTGCTGTGGAGATGAGCTAAATCAGCGCACCCCATAGCCACTCTGTCTTTGTCCCATCCCCAGCCAGTGGCACCCTTTTTTGGTTTTCTTTTTTGGGTGTCCTTAGTTTCCTATGGGCCTAACATTTCTCAGCCTCATCCCTGGGAGCCACTCCTTCTCTGGAACCCCGCACCCTGGTGTAATCCCTGGATAGATCTGGTCTAGGAGCCTTCACAGACCATCCCTTGCTCCTTTCTTTCCCACTCAAATGGGCCCCCAAACCCTGTCTATTCTAATGATCAAGAAGCGCTTTTTCTGGGAGGCTAATGCACTGATACATGAGGGCTTGTGAAAACCGCACCAACACACATAAATTGCACGCATGTGCACATACACACACCGCTGAGGATGGACAGCACAATGTAAAATGTCTACTTACTTGGTGGTAAGGACGTCAGTCTTGTGGTTACTGACTCTGTAATAACTGGGGAAAGAAAAAGGTGAGGTTATGGCCCTGAAATCTAGCCAAGCGAGGTGCAAGTTTTATTTCATGTCTGTGGAATAATGGGACTCGAATAAAGAAAAATCTTTTAAGACGATAGAGCCAAACGGCTTTCCAGCCAGCTTTGTGGTGGTAGCACATACTCTGTTTGTAGGCTTTGCTCTGGTCCTTGTCATTGTAGTCGCTGAGTTCCTCACAGACATTAATCAACTTGGCCTCACAACAACCCCTTGTGAAAAAGGGAAGGATTATTATGTTAATTTTACAGATATGGCACTGAGGCATCTAAGCCTCAGGTCACACAAAATGTCTGTGGCAGAATCAGCACTCAGGTCTCCAGAGTTCCATGCTCGTGCCTTAACCACAAGGCTATCTCTGTGGTGAACTATAAAGGGCCCTTTAAATGCTCTTGTAATGCCGGCAGACCCTGGTCGTTGTCGTCGTCCGGTATCAAACCTGGGACCTTTGGAGCTTCACGCATGAGCCTCTACTGCATGGGCTAAAAGACATTTTTCGCTTAACCAAGGCTGTAGCAGACTCATCGATCTCTAGCTGGTCTCACTGCCACTAGAGGGGGAGAGAGCACCACACCAAGCACGCATGGGTTACATACTTCCCCTAGTTGAGGAAGTGCATCCCAAGCTTCAGAGACTTCCCAGTTGATACCCTGGACAAGCCCTCACTTGTAATGCTCCAATCCCCGGTCGTTGTCGACTGGGATCAAACCTGGGATCTCTGGAGCTTAACATACTAGCCTCTATTGTAGGGGTAGTCAACTATTTTTTTTCAAGGTCCAAAATTTCTTGGTCAAGGTATAGTCAAGGTCAAGACTCCAGAGAAAATAATGAAAAAATAATAACAATAATGATCATAATAATAAGTAAATAAAAAGATTTCTGGATCTGTTCAAAAGCATGTGGAGGCCCAGATTTGGCTGTGATCCGTCTGTTCACTACCCCATCTCTACGGCATAAGCTAAACGACACATCTCTTTTCGCCAAGGTTGTAGCAGATTCCTAAATCGTCTAGCTGGTCTAGCTGCCACTAGAGGGGGAGAGAGCACCACACCAGGCAGGCCTGGGTTACACTCCAGAATGTTCGATGTGGTCTCTGTTACTAGAGAAATTCATGCTGTTCCATATTGTGGGAAGAATCAGGCTTTGAGACCTGAGATAGCTGCATAATTCAATTCTGGATCCAGGTTCGGATTCTAACCCCCTCTAAAGTTCAGGGTGTTCGGATCTGGGTTTTCTGGTTGGGGCCCATCTCTGACGATGAGATTTTGTTTTAAAAGCTTTTCTTACGTCTTTCGGAGACTTCTGCTCCATCCCGTTTGGTTTTCTTCGTTACTGAGTCCATACCATCACCGCCTGAGGGGAAAGCACAGAGACCTCATTGAAAGGGGACACTGTTTCGTAGTCATTCAATATCAGCACTACGACATACTGTAAGTAGAAGCCCAGTCACGCTATCAGCTGGCTGAGAGCCCCAAAAGTATCCAAGCAGGTAATGAAGCAGCAATGAATGGTTTGCTCAGACACTCAAAGGACTTTAGTGCAGAGTACCCCATCTAGTTGTTGGAAGGGTTGTAGCTTCGGGCTCTTTCCTTTTTCAAATCTCTGTTTCTTTTGGCATTAACTATGCCATTTAGTGCTCAAGGACCTGCTGGGGGACTTTAGTTGCTGTGTTCACTCACCCTCTCTACCAGCTTACATCTTTGCCAGCTGAAGATTTTGCAGCCCATCATATTTAAAAGCCAGCATCATTCATTTTTTTCTCTTTGTTTTCTCACTTGTCACTCAGCGTCTCCCGGGAAAGGGGAACATCTGGAGATATTAGATTTTTGTTAACTGCGCTATGGACTATCTACAATGTGGATCCACGCTGTTTAATATAGATCCACCCTGTACAGTTCATCCTATGTACAATGTAGATCCATCCATACGACCCTACAGAAATCCAGCCTCTGTCCATCACATGCATGGCTCTATGGATATACAGTGTAGGTCCAGTAATGTAGCCCATGCAGGACCCTATATAGAAGCACAGGGTATGTCCATATAAGCTATATCTATCCAGAGCCAGGCAGCATTGCAAGTACGTCCACCAAACTGATGCCCATACAGCGCTGTGGTTCTCTAGATGTGCCTGTGTGGTCCCTATGAATGCATCCCATGTGTCTTGGCGTCCAGTGGAAATTAGTGGCATGAATTATTAAAGAGGGAGTTTAGTGGTATTTACAATTGCATGGCCCAACGGTGAAAGAGTGGGGTTATTTTCTTCCTGCTCTATAGACAGTCTTTCAGTGTGTGAAGTGCCAGGGACATCTAATGGCTGGTCACTTTAGCCACAGAGAGATCATCACAGTCAGAAGGCATTCTAACTGGACCCCATGCTTTCCCCCTGTTTAACAGTGCCACATGAGTATTACTGGCTTGCTTGGCATCATCCTCCCTCTGAAACAGTAGGAGCCTACGGTGTTCCAGCAAGCTCAGGGCTGACTCCAAGAGCCATCCTGGGCAGTTCACACACAATAAGCCCTGACGTTCCAGGAGGACGCAGGGAAGGCACACTGAGAAGGATAGAATGATAAAGCCAACCACAGAGATGCGAGTGAACTGTCTTGAAATATAGGGAGAGTTTAGATCTAGATCAAATCCAAATCTTATGACTTTATGACTTTAGCGTATCTCTATAATTGCTTATCTCCAGCCCTGTCTCTGAGGTAAGCTTAAATCAGGGGTTCTCAAACTGGGGGTCAGGACCCCTCAGGGGGTCACGAGTTTGTTACATGGGGGGATTGCGAGCTGTCAGTCTCCACCCCAAACCCCGCTTTGCCTCCAGCATTTATAATGGTGTTAAATATATAAAAAAGTGTTTTTAATTTATGAGGGGGGGGTCACACTCAGAGGCTTGCTATGTGAAAGGGGTCACCAGTACAAAAGTTTGAGAGCCACTGGCTTAAATCAAAACACAAGATCCAAACCCCAGCCCCACATATCTGCTTTGAGCAGTGTTAGATACACAATGTTAAAAGCACAGGCAGCTACAGAAGTTTTGTCTACCCTACTGATTCCACCCTTGTTACCACTGGAACTCATTGCCAAACAGCTTAAGTGCAGAGACAGCTGTAGTCATTATTGAAATACTACCCCGACTTAATGCCTTGTATCCTTCTCTAGCCAAAAATATCATCCCAGGCAGCCCAGGTTTCTGTATGCCCAGGTTTCATAACACACCGGTACAACCAAGAATACTGCAGCTGGTAGGAAAACAAACATCAGCCGGGAGAAAAATCCCCCTGTGAGAAAGAACAATGCAGTCATTCAGTCCCAGTCTTACTCAGAAGAGATTCCGCCATGTCTGAGGAGCAGTCTCAAACGCTAGAAATGAAATTTTAATCTGTGAAAAGCATGGGAGCCAAATCTGCAGGTGAACTCTCCCCACTGCTGCCAGGGACTCCATCTTATCTGAAGACTTGGATGTGTAGAAAGCACCATATTTAAGTGGTGCTAAATCTGCACAAGATTCGGGCAAAATTCTACACCAAGTTCACACGTGTTTGGTTTGAGCGAGAGCTCAGGATGGGGCCCTCAAGCACAGATGTGGTTCGCTTTACAGTTTATGGGTTTGATTCTTCAGTGCCTTGCACATGGTGTCTTTACTTCCACTTTTGAAAAGTGAGGGTGAAACCCCACCGCTCTGACAGGAGAGCATGTTACCTTTACTTTGCACATATGTAAATGATGCCACCGTGCGAAAGGCAGTGGAGAATCAGACACAATACCTGAAGGGAGAACGTGCTGTAATGTCACTGACAAATTTCACCTTTCCCATTTGATATGGCTTGTCTTTTAATAACTCCTGCTAGGTACAAAACTGCCTAGGAAAACAGACAGGATGGGTTAGAAAGGAAAATATCGATCAATCACTCTGATTAGAAACAGGGTAGTTATTCCTCTACCCTATACATTATGTAATTGTTCGGAACAGATTTTAGGAATTTAAGTGATAGCATGTTCATGGAGAATGTGCCCTCTTTCAATCATCAGTTAACCTGGGCCAGATTTTTAAAGCTGTTTAGGCACATACCTCCCATTGAAATCCCCTTGTCGTCTTCTTTGTTCCTACAAATAAACCCAACCAAACCATTGGCCTGATCCTGTCAGCTGCAGTGGGCACACAACCCTTAGCAATTTCAGTGGGAGTCACATGGGGCCAGTACCTTGCAGCATCAGGCCTCTTGTGTATCGTGTCTAGAGAAAGCTCAGGGGGATTTTGGTTTCTGCAAGCCCCTATGACTTTAGTTCCAGTTTAGGGTTTGGTGAAATAATTTTCCTCTATCGTCTAATTTAAACTATTTTGTCTCCAATGGAAATTTAATTTTGAAACAAGATATTTTTCACATGAAATGGAAATTTGTGCTACCAAATAAATAAAGATTCAGGCGGAGAGTTCCAGCTGCCTGAGGGAATTGGAAATCACCTACGTGGCTATGAAAGGCTCAGCCTCTGGTTCTAGCTCTAGCAGGGGTAGGGTGGAGGGGAATTAAAGGCAGTACACATTTTCCCAGAAAGAAATGGATCTGGAACCTCAAACGTTTGGCATTCTGTGCTAGAACCCAGGACATTCATTTTAGCACGTGCATACCTGTACTGACGTGAGCCGTCCCGTTGACCACACTCAAGTCCTTACACAACAACTATATCCACTCCACACAGCGGCCCGCCACCACTCCCACTGAAATCACCAGGAGTTGTGACTTCAATGGGCTGACTCACATGAGTAAAATTACTCCCCTTCTTAAGTTTAGCGGGATTGGGGCCGACATTTGGAAAAAAAAGACTTCTTCCTTCCCCAAGGTGTGACTTACACCTCTCTGCACCAGGGAAGCCCTTGACCATTCACCACAAGGAGAGGCTGGTGTCTCCACTGCCCTCCTTCCTTTGAATTTCCACCAACACCTGCGGGTAGCTTTAAATGTCACTGCACTAAACTCAGCAGGTGGAAGCTGTGGGTGCGCTCATTGCGCTCACTTCCTGGCCCAGCCAGCTTTGTGGCCAGCACCACTGACTTTTGGAGACTGTTGTCCCTGGCTTTGCAACACTTTAGCCTTTTCCACCACCCGCAAGCTGCCCCAGAGTTTAACGCTGGCAGAAACCAACATAAACACTGGGTAAGTTAGTCACCGCTCCTCTCAAGAATTGGGAACATTCTGCTTTAACACTGTACAGGTAAAATAAGGAGAACACATTAAAATATATCCTTGCAGATAACTCATAATTCCCTAATGCCAGCTTTGACTGCAGGTGCATTTTGCTCCATGTACCAGGTTTATCCCCCACACAGTGGCACTAACACAATTACCAGCCCTCTCTCCAGCACAGCTACACAACTTGACTGTCAGTCCCTGCCAGCGCTGACTTACTGCACCAACTCCTCCTGCGTGGATTCACATAAATATAGCTATGGGCGAGGTATGAGACAAAATGGAATAGCTCTGTTCAATCAGAGAAACCATCTGCAATTATCTCTGAGCTACAAGAAGAGACTTGTGAAACATCATAGTTCTTACGCAATGGCCCTAAGGATGCTTTGGCTTACGATGGGACCTGAACTGGCCCCTGGCAGCCCCAGGGATCTGGCAAGTGAAGAAGAGACATGGGACTGGGAGCCAGGAGACCTCAGTTCTCTCACTGGCTCTGTCATTGACTCACAGTATGAGCCCCATGCAAGTCATTTCACCTCCGTGCATCTGTAAAAATGGGGATGTTGATAGTTGCCCACCTTTGTAAAACGCATTGATGTCAATGTATGTGTCCCATCATGTGAGCAGCTGAGTACTCTCTGAGAGGCAACCCCTCAGCTCAATTTGATTTCAGTGGGAACTGAGGGTGGTCAACACCTTGCAGGATCAGACCCTAAGGGTATGTCTACACGGCAAAGAAAAACCCACGGCACTGAATCGCAGTCAGTTGACCCAGGCTCAGGCTGCAGGGATAAAAGTAACAGTGTAGACCAGGGGTCGGCAACCTTTCAGAAGTGGTGTGCCGAGTCTTCATTTATTCACTCTAATTTAAGGTTTTGCGTGCCAGTAATACATTTTAACGTTTTTAGAAGGTCTCTTTCTATAAGTCTATAACATATAACTAAACTATTGTTGTATGTAAAGTAAATAAGGTTTTTAAAATGTTTAAGAAGATTCATTTAAAATTAAATTAAAATGCAGAGCCCCCCAGACCGGTGGTCAGGACCCGGGCAGTGTGAGTGCCACTGAAAATCAGCTCGTGTTCTGCCTTCGGCACGCGTGCCATAGGTTGCCTATCCTTGGTGTAGACATTCCTGCTCAGGATGGAGCCACGCTCCGAAACCCAGAGATGGGGGAGGGTTTCAGAACCTGGGCTCTAGGCTAAGCAGGAACATCTACACTGCTACTTCCAGCCCCACAGCCTGAGTCCTGGGATGCCAACTCTATTGACCTGGGCTCTGAGACTCGGTGCCATGGGTTTTTCTTTGCAGTGTAGACATACTCTTAGTGTGCAAACTATTATTATAATGGTAGAGCCATACTGGGTGTCCATGCAAATATATTGCAGATAATCACTCTCTCTCTCACACACTTTCTCTCTGCTATTTTATATACAGTTTTATAAGCTATTTAACTGGTCTTTGTATGTGATGTACACTCATCAACATAGGAAAAGTTCCATGGCAGCTGGCCCTTTATGCTTACTTTACAGTTCAAATGATAAAGCACCTAGGTATGTTCAGCCAATCTCAGGTGCCTTAATTAGACGGATATTCCAATCCCTCTGCTTATTTTAGGAACTAGATATTACTTGCACGCAACATTAACAATGATTGTCCCATACTTCTTGTCAATAGGGGAACGTCTTAAATTATTTTATATTTATGTAAGCATATTGTAATGGAAACAATTTAAAATAGCCGTGGATGTTGCACATTCTGTTAATTCCTACACTGATCATTTCTGTCCTCACATCAGATATCATTGCATTCTCATGTCAGGTGGATGGAACCCATCTCATAGACTCATAGACTTTAAGGTCAGAAGGGACCATTATGATCTTCTAGTCTGACCTCCTGCACAACGCAGGCCACAGAATCTCACCCACCCACTCCTGTAACAAACCCCTGTCCTATGTCTGAACTATTGAAGTCTTCAACTTGTGGTTTAAAGACTTCAAGGTGCAGAGAATCCTCCAGCAATTGACCCGTGCCCCACGCTGCAAGGGAAGGTGGAAAACCCCGAGGGCCTCTGCCACTCTGCCCTGGAGGAAAACTCCTTCCCAACCCCAAATATGGTGATCAGCTAAACCCTGAGCATGTGGGCAAGACTTAACAGCCAGACACCCAGGAAACAATTCTCTGTAGTAACTCAGATCTCACCCTCTCTAGTGTCCCATCACAAGACATTGGGCATATTTACCGCTAATAGTCAAAGATCAATTAATTGCCAGAATAGGCTATCCCATCATACCATCCCTTCCATAAACTTATCAAGCTTAGTCTTGAAGCCAGATATGTCTTTTGCCTCCACTGCTCCCCTTGGAAGGCTATTCCAGAATTTCACTCCTCTGATGGTTAGAAACCTTCGTCTAATTTCAAGTCTAAACTTCCTGATGGCCAGTTTATATCCATTTGTTCTTGTGTCCACATTGGTACTGAGCTTAAATAATTCCTCTCCCTCCCTGGTATTTATTCCTCTGATATATTTATAGAGAGCAATCATATCTCCCCTCAGCCTCCTTTTGGTTAGGCTAAACAAGACAAGCTCTTTGAGTCTCCTTTCATAAGACAGGTTTTCCATTCCTCAGATCATCCTAGTAGCCCTTCTCTGCATCTGTTCCAGTTTGAATTCATCCTTCTTAAACATGGGAGACCAGAACTGCACAGGGCTGCCCAGAGGATTCAGGGGGCATGGGGCAAAGCGGGGGACCTTGTACTCACCGGGCGGCGCTCCGAGTCTGCAGCGGCGGCATTTCGGCAGCGGGGGGCCCTTCAGTCGCTCCGCGTCTTCGACAGCCCTGAAGGGCCTCCCGCTGCCGAAATGCCACCGCCACCGCAGACTTGGAGCGCCGCTGGGTGAGGAAAGGGATTCTCAGCCAGGACTCGCGGGGCCCCTGTGGGGCCCGGGGCAAATTGCCCCACTTGCCCCCCCTCTGGGCAGCTCTGGAACTGCACACAATATTCCAGATGAGGTCTCACCAGTGCCTTGTATAACGGTAGTAACACCTCCTTATCTCTACTGGAAATACCTCGCCTGATGCATCCCAAGACCGCATAAGCTTTTTTCACAGCCATATCACATTGGCGGCTCATAGTCATCCTGTGATCAACCAATACTCCAAGGTCCTTCTCCTCCTCTGTTACTTCCAAGTGATGCGTCCCCAGTTTATAACAAAAATTCTTGTTATTAATCCCTAAAAGCATGACCTTGCACTTTTCACTACTATATTTCATCCTATTACTATTACGATCCTTTTAGCCCCACCTGTACTTCTGCAATAATACAGAATAATACTCTCATCAAATGGTGAGATTATTGTTTAATGGAGCCGAAAACCTTTGATCCTATTTTATGTGAAGAATTTCACAGAACTCACTGATTGTGATAAAACAGGCTGTGTAAACAACTAAGGATTTAATTTAGAAACTAATGTCACTCCTTCCCTGATGTCTAACATGCTTCAAGGTGTTTCCTTATTGCGAGTCAAACCTTTTCAGGTTTCACTGTCCTTGGATTCCTATCAGAACAAAACAGCAATATGCTTACCTTGACCCAACAGTCTAGGAATCTGACTATCCTATTCCGCTTTAAAAGCCATTCAATTTCAGTTGATTGTCAAGTCATTTTTTGTCTCAATGGTTCCAGGATCTGAGGCAGTATATGTGTGTGGTCTGCAAACAGCTGGCTAGTCTAAGTGGGAAAAGTATCATGAACTCTTGCCTTAGCTAATGGCCTCCATTCGTATGGAAGCATAATCCACTGGATAGTGTGTATTATACTTCCCCGTCTGTGCCTGATTCACAGATAATGTGAGTATGTTGCTCAGACTTTGGTGAATAAAATAAATAGACCAGCCTATATGCTATGATATCACTCAATTAAGTGAAATGCAGGTCAAATTCTGCTCTCAATCATACCAGCATGAATCTAGAATAACTCTATTGAGTTCAGCGACGTTATTCTGCATTTACAGAAGTGCAAGTTCAGAATCAGACCCTATGTGTGTTCTGTTTGCTTGTTGTATAGATTAATTTAAATGTTGATAATAATGCTGAATCAGGGGAGGTGCATGAGCAAGATTTAGATATGTTGTAAGCAGGGCCGGCTCCAGGCACCAGCCAACCAAGCATGTGCTTGGGGTGGCACCTTGGAAGGGGCAGCCAATCTTGGGGTGGCGAGGGGCGCTCGGGGTTTTTTGGTTTTTTTGCTTCAGTGGGGCGGCGCTTGAGGTTTTTTGTTTGTTTGTTTTTGTTTCAGCGGGGCGGCACTGGGGGGGGTGGGGCGGGGGCTTTGGCGGCGCGGCGCTCAGGGTTTGGGTGGCCCGGCGCAGCGCTTGGGGTTTGGGTGGTGTGGCGCTCGGGGGGGGGGGGGTTTGGGTGGCGCGGCGCTCGGGATTTGGGCGGCCTGGCGCGGTGCGGTGCTGGGGTGGGGGCAGGGGTTTCGGAGGGGCGGCGCTGGGGGGTGTGTGTTACGATGGGGCAGCACTCTTTTTTTTTGCCTGGGGCGGCCAAAAAGTTAGAGCCGGCCCTGGTTGTAAGGGTCAGATTCTTCACTAACATCCAGCAGCAGCCTTGTTGAAGTCAATGTGTGTTGTTTCTGATGGCAAGATTTGGGGCACTGCCTGGATTTTCTTTGCAGTGCATAATATGCTACTTTCAATAATAAGTCCATCTACTTGCATTGCTCAAAGGAAAACAGATCCAAATTCAAAGCAAGAACATTTTGTTCTGCACAAGTCACTCTTTCCTATTGTAAAGAGGGAGTTAACAATTCCTGTGCAATAATACTTTGCACTCTCCAGGAGTGGATCTCAAAGTGGGTAATTGCTATAATCACCATTTTATAGATGGAAAAACTGAGGCCCAGAAAGGCGAAGTGACTTGCCACTGAGCATCAGTGTCAGAGACAGGAATAGGACACAGGACTCCTGACTCACAGTACCAGGCTCTAATCACTAGATCATGCTGTGCAAAGGATTAAAAATGATTGGTAAACAAACATTTGCTGATTTTCACTGAACTAACTTTAAAAAGTGCGATATAATTCTTGGCCTCGTAATCTTAAATGCAAACAAATGTGTCCAAAAGTTCATGCTAAATGACTCACTACTGATAAATAACTCTGCTTTTCTGGAACTGTTTTATTTAAAGCAAAGTTGGAGCCTCCCAGCACAAAACACCACTTTAAAGTAGCACCTGCTGCTGTCTGAACTGCAGATCAATGCACCTGGTGCCCTAGTACACCCCGAACCAGAGTCTACATCCAGCACTAGAGCATATAGCCTATCGTCAATCCTCTGATGTATTTCAAGTATGTTCATTTTTAAAGCAATCACAAAGCTCCTTGCATTTTGCAGTGTAGATCGTCTTTCTTCCAGATCCTAACACAGACCATCAATCTATGCACCATCCTATTTGGATAATGTTTTCACAATTAGTATTCAAAGAAAAATACCTATGTCTTGGTTTATATTTCCCACTTCTCAGCACATCAACCATTTTCACTTAGCATCCATTTAAAAAGCAACCCTGTCTTGCAAATTAAAAACCAAAGTAACCCAGAACATAAAGATTTGATAGTCTTTTTACATTGTATGTCCCATAGTAGAATGTACATTTCCTATATTTTACTTGAGAATACACGTTTTTCCCCTTTAGGAATACAGGCTTCCCCCTAGAAAAAAAAAGGACACTTTATTTCTTCTTTATGTTACTTACCTACAGTTCTTCAATTAAAGACTGGAAATCCCTCTTTCTCCTCAACCGTTTCCTTTCTATCAAAATTGGCCACCTACTCTTTATACCACATCCCTACAAAGGTGTGTTGAGTCTGAGTGATCCTCCAGGAATGTTCACTTCTTCTTGTAGTTAATGTATTCTATCCCGCTCCCCCTTGTCCTTTCCCATTTCTTTGCTCCCAAACAAGTCCTGACAAAGGTGTGTCGTGGTTTCCTGCCTTGCTCCACCCTTCTAATTATCTGACACTCAGCAAAAAAAAAAAGTCTGCCTCCAGGAATCAAACTTTATTGAAGGCAAGAAAGCATCTACCTACCTGCTTAGATAGATTAACTATTTAGAGACATGGGGATCAAAGGCTGATGTTAGAGGAAATGTCCTATTATGGCTTTGCTTTCTCATACATGCTCTACACATTTTAGGTGTGAATTTCATCTGCATTAGCTTTTTGTGACAGAAGGTTTGTAGACTTCTAGCTGGCATCTCTGCAAGGGTAACTGAGGCTGAATGTTATGCAACTTGTGTGCAATGGGCCAGACCCACAGCTAGTGGATAAGTGGCAGAGCTCCATTGAAGTCATTGGCCCTGTACTGTGTTTAAGCCGCCCTCAATATTTATGCAGTATTCAGGAGGCCGTTCTGATAAGATGCACCAAAATGCATGAGGACAAACATCTCCGCCAGATTCCACTTATGCAACCCAACTGAGTAGGGGATTGGCACCAGTGTAATGGAGAGGAGATTGGGGTCCGTTATCTTTGTTTCCTTACATTAAGTTTTCTGCGGTGCGTAGGATAGTGGTTGGGACACAGTGCTTCCTGGCCACCCCAAAAGCTAGCTCATCTGCCTTCTGGCTGCAGAGAGCTGGGTGGAAATCTTTTTGGAGCTCATCACGGCAGCTCCTAGATCAGCCAGAATGGTCACTGCAGAGCATTACAAATCACTCACCCTACCCCAGGAGGAGCAGGGCCAGTGCACAGGCCTGATAAACTGCATACAGGAATTAAATTAATTTAGGCCATAGGGCCTGATCCCTTGGGTCTGGCCAAACCACACTTAGCACAGGACCTGATGGGGGAAGGTACCTTACAGCCATCCGGTTCATTGCTCACTTTTAGTGTCGAGCTGACATTGACCCTGTTCATTCAGTGTCACCCTCCAGCACAAGTTACAGCAGTGTGCTCTAACCCAGCTCTGCTGCCCAGGGCAAGAGGGCACAGCATACAGCTGGTTATTTCAGCGTTATGACTCCAAGGGCTTCCCCAACCCCACTGAGTCACTGGAGCTGCACAAAGGAACGGCACTGGAGTGGAAGGTCTGGGCCTTTGTTTTAAAATTGTTCCAGGACTGGAATACCCCTCCCCCCCCCCGCCCATAATCTTTATTTTCTACTTTTCATAAAAGAAATAAATGAAATGAGCAGTGATAAAAATCTTGCTAAACTAAGAAAACAAAAGTACATATTTGGGATCATTTGGTGAGGATAATGACTAAGAAAACGGATAAGTGCTTCTTGGCAACAGACTGTTTGTGGAACTGATTTGATGACTCATTTTGTCAATTTCTTATTGAATTTCCAAAGTGGGGGGAGAGGGAGATAACATAGATTCCTTAAAAGGAAACAGAAAAAAAAATCACATGTTGGAAACCGCTGAGTCAGGACTTAAAAGGGAAGATTTGTGGGGATTGAGTGGCTTGCGGGTAGGTAAAATTGTTGTCATCTGAGGGCTGTTTGATGGCCTCGGTGAAATAAATTGATGGTCTCAGTCCAGCTCCTAGTGGACAGGCAGGTGTCCATTCATATCACTCATCACAAGGTCACACTAGACACAAGGCCCTGATTTACGGCGGGGCCGAGTATTCACATCACCAGCTAAAGTAAATGGGAACTAGAGGTAATCAGCACTGCTGAAAATCAGGGCTTAACTGCCTCCCCAGTTTGACCGCCTCAGCAGAGAGCCCATGGACTAAATGGGTCCTGGAGTCTGAACTCAACTATCACCCTATACAGGTGGTCCCTTCGGGATAAGGAAAAGAGACATTTGTATTGGAGTGGGGGAGCAACTTGCATTCTGTAACTGAGATCTGTTCACAATGTGATTATTACAATGTGGGACACTTCTGAAGTTTGCTTCCTGGAATGTGCTCCGTGTTAGCTCTTTCTGGGTGCCATAATTGATGGAGCTGCCCAAACATAAACCAAAATGTTTGGAATGACTGAGGTCTAGTAATGCCCACCCCTTGCCCTTGTAATAGCAGGAAATTGGGTGTACCTGTTTCTAACAGGTATCTCTCACTCATTGGTCCATAGTACAGCAAAAAAACCCAAACCAATGGTCCTGACAATTTACCCTGGGGAAATTCCAGTTAATCTGTGTCTTTGTTTTTGAATAGTCAAACAGTGGCCTCTAAACATTCCTTTTCTTTGAGCCATCTTCACAGATCCACTTGACGCAGAGAAAGATGAGATGGAAAGGAGAAGACTGTGCTCTGACATGAACAGTTTCTGGCTGTGATGGATGCAAATAAAGCTTTCTTCTCCCCAGAGTGTAATCTCCAATTTAAAGACTTGCCTCTCCAGACTGGCAAAATCCAGTGGAGGGACTTTGGGTCTGTCACTGAGGGAGACTTTCCATGCATCCTTTTGGGAGGGCAAGATGCCAGAATCTCTCAAATGAGGGACTGCTAGATCCATGCTCAAGAAGCCCTTGCCAGTGCTGACAATCTCACCCATTACTGGCCTGTCTCTAACCGTTCTGTTGTGGGGAGGATTACTGAGCAGGCTATGGGCAAAGCAGCTCTGGCACTATCCTCAGATTTCCTTTTCTGCTTTCACTCTGGTGTCAGGCCTGGGTATGGGACGGAGATTGCACTAGACTTGTTGGTCTCTCTCCTTCTATGGCTGGACAAAGCTCACGCCTCTGTGCTGATTCTTTTAGCTCCCTCAGCTGCGTTGATCCCATTGACTATACGGTGTCGATAGGTTTGCAGATCCTGGCAGGGATAGATGGAATCACTCTTGAGAGGCTCTTTTCATTTCTGAAAGCATCTACGGGGTTGTCTTATTGCTCATCTGCCCCAAGAATCTCTCAATAGGGGGTAAATATTCCAGGGTTCTGTTCTGTCCCTGTTCAATGTGCCAGCGGGGAGATAGAAAGGTGTTTGGGGTCCCAGTACCCCCTGACAACACTCAGCTCTGAGTCTTTTTTTATCAGACATGTCCAGCGTGGCCTTTCAACTTTCCCAGCACCTGGCCAAAACTGGGGCTTAGATGAGTGTTGAAGATGAGATGGTTGAAGATCATTTCAGATAAAACACAGGTGATGCTGATGGGATGAAGGAAACAAGCAGAGGTGACATGGACTCCTTTGATGGTGGGAGCACACCTGCCTTTCGTTAATCAGGTTCACAATCTACGGGTTCTACTGGGTCCTCCGCTGATCTTGATGACCCGATTGCAGCAGAAGCCAAAGACCCATTCTAGCATCTGAGGACTATGCGGTATGTGTGTGACATCAGAGCTAGGAGTTGGCAGGGATGTGACACAGAAGCCACTATGGCAGCCCTAGGCTTCGTGAGGGCTCCCCTACACAGGGGTGGCAGAATACACTGGCTTGGATGTTTTAGGTCACTGGAGCAGTAGTGAAGCAGCGGGGGCAGGGCCTGTAATCTGGCCCTACGTCAGATGCATGAATCTATTGGAAATATAAATCAATGAGCACATAAGCAGTATGAAGCCTACCACTGAATTAGAATAATTCACACAACGCACAGTAAATCTTCACACAACGCGCAGTCAACCTGTGGAACTCCTTGTCAGAGGATGTTGTGAAGGCTAAGACTAAAATAGGGTTCAAAAAAGAACTAGATACATTCATGGAGGATAGATCCATCAATGGCTATTAGCCAGGATGGGCAGGGATGATGTCCCTAGCCTCTGTTTGCCAGAAGCTGGGAATGAGCGACAGAGGATGGATCACTTGATGATGACCTGTTCTGTTCATTCCCTCTGGGGCACCTGGCATTGGCCACTGTCGGAAGACAGGACACTGGGCTATATGGACCTTTGGTTCTGACCCAGTCTGGCCATGTTCTTATGTTAATAAAACAAGTGTGTCACACTGCATCTGTTGTGAGTACAGATGTAGCGAGAGTCAATGGAGCTATAGCAATTTGCAGCCTGCACTGAAAAGGATGTGATCGTCACATACGGTAAACTCACAACGATATCTGTAAACGGGCTTCCATACTTTGCCAAGGCATGCCTATATCCTTTTTCTCCATACACAATGGGTGCTCAAAGATAAATCATTTAAACTGAACTAACTGGTCTGGTCACAGTGTACTGTTGGCGCTCTTCTCATAACTTAAAGAAAACATGGTACATTCATATGCTGGAAATGTGCCTGGGAGCCAAATATTATTGTCGTCCTCAACTTGAAAGAGAGATGTTTATCACATGATGAAGATGTAATGCTTGCAGAAAAATGTTCAGGCAATTCTGTTCCTATTGACATGTTTCCATGGGGTTTGTGGTCAGTGATTCAGACTTGATTTTGGTTATAACATTGCATGTCCACACAAAGACTGTTAACAAAAGGAGAAGAAGACCACACCTATCTCTGTTAGCAACTGCAGCTCCTAAAGTACCTCTGCTTTGCACATTCAAGCCATGGCAGCAGCTTAACCAATCAGACCTCACTCACCTATTGACTCGTTGACTCAATGGCTGGAGTCCACATCTTATGCATCACTTGAGAAATTCATCATGAGTAACCCAAGGCATGAAAGGAAGCCTGTAGGTGACTAGCCATTGCCTTTGGGGTACCTGGAGGGGAACATCCCCACAAACAGGGCTAGGATACAAGAGGGGAGGGATAGCCCAGTGGTTTGAGCATTAGCCTCTTAAACCCTGGGTTGTGAGTTCAATCCTTGAGGGGGCCACTTAGAGATCTGGGGCAAAAATCAGTACTGGGTCCTGCTAGTGAAGGCAGGGTCCTGGATTCAATGACCTTTCAAGGTCCCTCCTAGTTCTAGGAGATAGGATATCTCTATTTATTTATAACACTGTTCACTCAGTGAAGCTGTGGGCTGCTAAAGTACTCCACGACTTCAACCTTCAAGAGTGGGGATGCTGCCTATCTGCTTTCTA